GCAGGTACTGGCCCTAACACACATGCGTGCACACACACACACTCTCTCTCTCTCACACACACACACACACACACGCGCGCGCACACACACACACACACACACACACACACACCCTGCCCCTGCTGTGTTCTAACACACACACACACACACACACACTCACATGCGCGCACACACACACACATGTTCTAAAGCACCTGGAAATATGTGGATTTCACTGCTGCTGCCACCACACTGTGAGGCCATGACAGAAAGGAAAACAGGCAATTAGATATGCTATCAGAATTCTCTAGACAAGCAAAACAGTGTGAGTAGACAGCATCGAGATAACGGAGTGGCCTCCAAAGAAACTGGAGACAGACTGCATGGTTGAGGACGAATGGAAAAGCAACCAGAAAGTGTTTACCTAGAGGAACAAATATCTGAATTGAGCAAAAATGACTCCCCCCAAATGACAGCTTGCAGAGGGTAAATTCCAGGTAAAAAAAGAAAACAAATGGTTTTTTTCTCTCCCCTGACAATGGGTGTATGTTTCCCCGAGAGGCTTCCACCACAGAAACACATATCTTCCTCAGAGTCATTTGATTTTATTTCAGTGAAATGCACTCCAACTTGATATTGCCAAACATTTAGTCACAGATGCCAATGTTAGGTAATTTCCCACCGGGTAACCAGTGCTCATCAGTCAACAACTGCCCCAAACAGCAAGGACTGTTTCTACTGTATCTACTGCCCACTGGTGGCCAGGTACACATATTGCAGGAGCAGAATCCTGTGCTCCAGGGTAAATCACCCCATTGCCACAGAGATGGGACAGGAGCCACCATGAGAAAGTGTTCTTCAGGAAAACAAGATTATACAGTGAGAAGCCCACAGAAAGAAGGAAAAGCACAGTTCCCAGGGACAATCTAGCTCTGAAAATAGGGTTTCTTAAAGAATAAAGACCAGAATTTTTCTTTTCTCCTGGTGAAGTATACGTTACATGTAAAATTACAATAGTTTTCAACAGCTCATTTAGTAAAAGCCCCACATTTATAAAATCTATGACATAAACTATGAAGACAAACGTAGCCCAGAACACCCTCAACTGTGCTGGCAGTAGCCTAGAGGAGGTGGCCTGGGCCCCCCTGCCTCAGAGTTCTGTTTTAGGTGGAACCATCTTTATACCAGATGTTCCTCACTGAGTGAGATGGGAAGGGGTACAGTGAAATGCAGGGGACCGTCATCAGGAACCCCAGGTGGACTCTTACCCCACCCTCTAAGCAAAGTCCAGGTGTTGCTTGATCGTGTGATGGTCCAGAAAGAGATGGATGTAAGCAGAGTTCCTTACCTCAGCCACAGCACAGCTGGGCTACACCACACTGTTCTGAATGAAAAAAAAAAGTAACTGATGGAAAAGAATATTTCCTAGAAACCCACAGTATTTGGACAAGCTCCCAAGTCAGAGAAAAACAACATCAGAGCCATTCTGACTTCACTTTAAGTGTCTCCAACTTTGCCAGGTCCTCTCCCACCAAGCACCCCACAGCCGTGGAAGAAAATGGCTGTAGGCATGGAAATGACATTCTGTTTGTACACAGTTAGCTGTGTGTAACACCCGCTTTGATAACTATGTTTTTAAACAACCCTTTCGGTCTTGAGGGCCCCAAAGCCCTCCAGACACTGAAGCTGAAATCCAGAGCTGTTTATTCAGTCTCAAAGAGCCAGGGTTCGGAGACAGGGGGATGAGGGGGCTGCTAAATCAGAGTGCAGAGAGCGTGCTGTCACGTCGCACTCTGTCAGGAGGTAAGTGTCCATCTGGTTAAGAACGTCAGAAATAATCTTTATCTGTGCAAGTGATGTGTGGATACATAGTATTAAAAATGATTTTAAGAATCATATATGATAAATGTACCTGAGGCCACTTTCCCCAAACATGTCCCCTCTGCAATGGTTACTGTGGTTTCACTTTCTGATGTGTTCCTCAGTATTACAAAGATATGCACACACACACACACACACACACACACACACACACACACACACACACACACACAATGGTCCATGCGCATATACATATCCTATAGAAATGGTTTGTTGGCTGGGGAGACAACTCAGTTGGTAGAATGCCCACCATACAAGGACCTGAGTCTGATACCCAGTGCCTGCATTTAAAGCAAAAGCTGGTACACACCTGTAATCCCAGCATTGGAGAGGCAGGACAGGAGAGCCTCTGTGTTCACAGACTGACAGCCTAGCCTAATCAGTGAACCTGGATTGCAATGAAAGACTGTCATAAAACACAAGGTAGATAGCTCCGAAGGAGCAACAGCCAGGTGGACTTCCAGCTTCTGTGTGCATGAGCACACACATGCACCCACACGCCAAGCAATACGTAGCTCATGAGGATGTGTGATCATATACAAAGAATCAACAGGGTCCCTTCAAGCTCGGTCTGTGCTGATACCATAACCACTATCCTGAAATACTAATCTCTGTGGATAGCTCCCCGACTCAATCAGCGTCTCTTGCTCGGCCAGAGCCCTCTGGTACTGACTCAGTAAGAATATCGGTTCTCTGAGCAATTAAAAGAAAAAAGTATTGTGTCCGTGTGTGTGAGAGAGAGCCAAACAGCAGCACTACAAGGAAAGTATAGAATCCATGCTGTAGTAAGAGCTTAGAGAGAGAAGAGATGATCATCATGGCCCCATCCAGATCTCTGGGCAATGTGACTATCCGAGAAGAACTTGGGGTTGGTGCTTTCAGGATCTCACACAGAAGTCACAGATACCCATGGAAGCTAGGCAGATGATAAAGACGCGTGGAGCAGGGTGAATGGCAGCAGACACCTGTTCCTTTCATGCAATGTGAAGGATGCAACTGGGGAAGAGTGTAAACTACCACAAGCAAGAAAGTGAAGCCACAACCTCCTTGACATAGAACAAGCCAGCTACTCATCAGCTCCCTTCCACTTTAAGGGCAGGAAAAAAAAACTAACAACTGATATTTTTATATTTAAGAAAAAAATCTCTTCGTTTTCCAGCATTGATCATTGTCTTAGTTTTCGTTCCTGCTGCTGTGATTAAAACACGGACAAAAGGGACTCAGGGAGAAAGGGTTTGTCCTGGGTCACAGTTCCAGAGTGCCATCTGTCTCGCTGGGCAAGACAAGGAGGACGCAGCTTGAAGCGGCTGGTCACATCACATTCACAGGCAGGAAGCAGGGAGGGGTGACTGCATGCTTCTGCTCAGCTCCCTTCACTACACACGCAAGCACACAGTCTAGGACCCCAGCCAAGGGATGTTCCCACACAAAGCAGAGCTGTGCAGGCTCACCCTTGGCTGATCACACTGTAGGCTGAAGTCAGAACCTCGGGATGAAGATCAGTTCACAGGTTTAATCAAACCTCTACATGTCTCTCTGGTAGCACAACCAGTGTCTCCATAAAACATCCTTTGTCAAATTAATGCATTGAAAACAAATAGTATAGTGTTTTTTGAAGTTTCATGGGGTTTTGTGTGATGATTAATATCAAAAGGATCAAAACTCACTAACTAGGATACAAGCCTCTGGAAGGCTGTGAAGGAATTTCTAGACCAGGCTGAGACAGGAAGACCCACCTGGATGTGGGTCCTGATTAGTTACAAAGGAAAGGCTTGCTGAGCACTGACATTAATCTCTCTCTACTTCCTGACTGCAGATGTGGTCAGCTACCACATGACCCTGCCGCCATGACTTCCCGCCATGATGGACTTACTGTGAGTCCAAACAAACCCTTCCTTCCTTCCTAAGTTGCTTTTGTCAGGGATTTTCTTATAGCAACTATAAAAGTAATTAATATCATTTCCCCTCATAAAGGTATAACTGGCAATCAAGGCAATTTTTGCCCTTCTACTAAATTTTGGACGATTTTTCTGGAAATGGCAGGTGAACTCATTCACTGGATTATCGTTTGTTCTTTCATTCCTCGGAAATTTTCTTATACACCAGATTAGTTTTAACTTGTGTTGCTTTGGAAATAGATTGGCCTCTACACTTAATTCTTTTATACAAGGGAAGATGGTTCAACTCTACCTAGAGAGAGAAGTAGGCTCAGGGCTCTGGGGAAGACATAGTCCAAAAGGATGCTAGAGCAGGGCTCTTTGTGGTGGTATTGTGTTCCCCAAAATATTGTGCACCCTAATAAACTTATCTGGGGTCAAAGGACAGAACAGCCACTAGATACAGAGGCTAGAAAATGGTGGCACTCACATCTTTAATCCTAGCATTCCAGAGGCAGAAATCCCTCTGGATCTCTGTGAGTTCAAGACCACATTGGACACAGCCAGGCATGGTGACACACACCTTTAATCCCAGGGAGTGATGGCAGATAGCAGAAAGGTATATAAGGTGTGAGGACCAGGAACTAGAAGCATTTGGCTGGTTAAGCTTTCAGGCTTTTGGGCAGCAGTTTAGCTGAGATTCATTCTGGATGAGGACTCAGAGGCATCCAGTCTGAGGAAACAGGATCAGCTGAGGAACTGGCAAAGTGAGGTAGCTGTGGCTTGTTCTGCTTCTCTGATCTTCCAGCATTCACCCCAAAAACTGGTCTCAGGTTTGATTTTATTAATAAGGCCTCCTAAGATTCCTGCTACAGCTCTTCATCAAATGTGACCCTGATCTTGAATCAGCTGATGCAGTACAACACACTCACAGGGCTGAGGACGGCAGGGACAGCCCTGTCAGAGGAAACCTAGGGATGACCCCTGCCCTCTCCTTTTCTTCCCCAAGATGGTGTGCTTAGCCATTACCCATCTCCACCGACTTATCTGTGGATTTAAACTGAGCAGGGCACATGGGGGTGATGAATATGAAATTATACTCCCTCTGTAAGAATGAAGATTGATTCTTAACCCTGAGAGTCTCTACTTGAGCAAGAAGAACAGTTCTTGGGAATGACCTGTTCAGATGGAAACACAGATACACACTCTGTATGAATTCCCTTGCTGTGTTTAAATGGGATGGTCTGAAGATGGTCCATCTACCTTGAAGATGAAATCAGCCATCAGGGGCCCAGGAATCTTGAAGGTTTGTCTGTCAGCACCCTTCTGAAACTCAATCGTTGTGTTTTCTACAACAAAAACCCCGGGATTGTTGAAGCTGTGTTCTCCTCTGTTTCCTTGAAGTGTTTTTGACTCAATAACTGAAAATTTAAAAAGAAAATTTAAATATGAGAACCATCCTAAAGACATTTGGTTTCAAATGACATTTTTACTAAGTGCAACATCAGTATGTGTGATCAACAAATATAGAACTATCTACTCAGTTGATGGCATTGATTCCTATTGGCAGAATAGATACGTGAAAGTTTTAGGGGCTAGCAAGGATGGGGTTTTTTTTGGCCCAAATAGGTCTACTCAAGTTCTTGGAATCATTTCTACCACAGAATGAAGAGGAAAGTTTTCTTAGTTTATGCTTTTTTATGAGGTATCTAAAAGCCATGTCTCTTACTACCCATTCAGAAGAAAGAATCTCAATTTTGCTTTCAAGTATTATTTCTTCTTAAGTAAGTATAAATTCATGCTGTGCTGTGTAGTCTTCTGTCATCTAGTCCATGCGAATCTAGCACAATAGGTAAACCAGGAACTGATGGTGAAATGTGTGCTGTGTTGGGGCAGCTGCTGTTTTTCCACAGTGCTGAAGGACAACTTTCCATGTTTCCCAGGACCTCAGCAACATGAAAGAGAGTGTGGGAATCTGCAGAGGTGATCTGGGAGCAAGGAAAGACATCCATCCCCTAAACCACAGCGTAGACTTTCTTTTAGTTTGATTTTGATGTCTAGGAGAGCTACAGAGGAGAATGCTTTAGTTCTGAGTTCCTACAGAGGCCTCCATGGCATCTACATGGATGGCAAGGTGGAAGGCCCTGGAAATCCATAACCATCCCACCACTATTAAGGAAGAGGATATGTGTCTGTATTCTACTGTCCAAGGGCCAGCTAACTTCTCCCCTCAGGTCTCCACAGTGGGGTGGGGTGGGGGTATGGAGAGTGAGCAAGTAGGACCAGCAGCCTCACACAGTAGGAAGTGCCATCAGGAACTGAAGCCTTCTTCTGTGCCCGGATCTTTGCAGCTCATTTATACATTTTAGTATGATATTCATTTTATATGCATGCATCTGTATGTGAGCCCACATGACAGTATGTGCACCAAGTGCATGTAGGTGACTGGTGATGGTTAGAAGGAGACATCAGATCCCCTGGAACCGGAGTTACAGGAGAGTGTGAGCCGCAGTGTGGGTACTGAACCGAACTCAGGTCTTCTGCAAGAGTAGTAAGTTTAACTGTCGATCCCTTTCTCCAGACCCTATAAGGACAACTTTAAATATTTTAATCTGTACTAAAAAAAGGATGGAAAGAAGGAAGGAAGGGAGGGAGGGAGGGAGGGAGGGAGGAAGGGAGGGGAAATAAAGAAGGGAGGGAGGGAGGGAGGGAGGAAAAGAAACAATGGCTTTAAAGATAACAAATGCCTCCAGCTGTTTCTGACTGAAGGGCTGACACTGAAAACGATCAGCTGTGGCTCCTTTGGAAAGAGGCAGAGCCAAGTGACCAAGGGATTTGTTTAGACTATGGAGGTCAGTAGAACACTCTTAAGGCGGCTTTTCGGTGGCTATGCATGAGGGCTTATTGTTAGCCACAGCACCAAGCATGTGCCTACAGCAGATGCATGTCTGCAGTGTGTACCTGTCTGCCCCAGCACTGCTCTCCTTGGGTCATTAGGTACAGTGCCACGGTTCTATTCATGCTCAGCAGGCAGGACTTGGGGGGAAAATTGTATTTTTTTTGCTTGGCAGAGGTTTCAACCTACGGCATCTTGGCCTTTCGGGTTATTGTTAGTAGAACATTTGATTTATTATTATTTTGAATTTTGAAAGAATTTTTTTAAATGTGTGTGTGTGTGTGTGTGTGTGTGTGTGTGTGTGTGTGTGTGTGTATGTATGTTTGTGTGACTATCTACTACATGAGTGCAGTTCCCACAGCAGCCAGAAGAGGGCATTGGATGTATGCCCTGGAGCTGGACTTCGAGGCAGATGGGAGCCACCATGTGAGTGCTGGGCATCAAATTTAAAGCAGTTAGCACTCTTAAACATTGAGACGTCTCTCCAGGCCTTTACTGTTTTTAAAATTACATTCGCTTATTTACTGGGGTAGCACTGGTGTGGTGGCTCTCTCAGCCTATCACATAGGTCCTGGGGACTGAGCTCAGGTCGTTAGGCTTGGCAGAAAGAAGCTTGACCTTCTGGGTCATCTTCCCAGCTGTGTCCAACATACTTAGTGCCCAAGTTTTGCTCTAATGACGTTGCTTTTGCATGGACTTTCTTATTGCTTGCATCTGGGGAGGGGCGCATGACTGGAAAATCTGGGGCTGTGGGTTCCCTACAATAATGTGGCTAAGATTAGAACATGCTAGAAATTCAGGATCTAAACAGCTCTAGGCATATTGGAAGATGGACTTTCTATAATGAAATTCCATCCCACAACAAAGGGACTTGAAATTAACAGTACCCAGCATTCCCAGTTTTCAATTCTGCAGCCATTTGGAAGGTTGTAGTTACGACGGGCCTTAAAAGAATGATTTATTACTGCAAAATAAGCTTGATTTCAGAAATGCAGCTTTTAAAAAAAATGGTTATATAAAACAAGAAAACAAAACCCCTTCTGTACTGTGAAGTTCAGACATGTAAACTAAGTCCTTTGCAAGGCAGCCAGCAGAGACGGGTGGCTTTCAGAAAGGCTTCCAGAGCTGCCCGTGGGGCTTCAGAAGGGGAAATCTCCAAGCAATAGATCTGTCACTTGGAGAAGTGGGAGCGTTTCTGAACCCTGGTCTCCAGAAGAGTGCCAGTCTCCAGTACAAAGCCAGGCTTCATCTGCCCGCCCAGGCTCGTGAAAACGAGGCTCCCTCGGGGTGTTTGTCCATACTTTTTCTGCTTACTGAATGCATATTCTGTTTTTATGCCTTAAAAAAAAAGTCTCTTAAAGCTGGGCATAGTGGCTGACACTGGCAAACCAAGTCCAGAGCCAGCCTGGGCTACAAGCCAGCCTGGGCTACATGGGTAGTTCCAGGATCACCTGGACAACAGAATGAGACCTGTTCTCAAAACAGCACCACAGTCTTCCGCAACTGAACTTGGGGATCCACTTTCAGTGTCATTAGGGCAACACACGAAAACTGCATTTTAAACAGTGGTTACCGTCTGACTGTCACGCCAGAGAGTCCGCCCAGCTGCTTGCTTTCTTTGTGGCCTCTTGGCCTGCCTTCCCAGTACCGGGTGTTGAACCCAAAGCCTCACACTATTATTCCGCTAATTTCCAGCAATGGTTTTTGCCAATCCCAAATAAAATCTCATCTGCAGCCAGGAAACCAACCATCTGTTTTTTTTTTTTTTATCTCTGTAGCTTTCTCTGTCTAGGTATTGCATCTTATGGAATCAGGTGATGTGTGGCTTTTTGAAATTGGCTTCTTTTACTCAGTCAATATTTTCAAGGATCGTCTACCTACATTGTAGCATTCATCAGAATATCGTCCCTTTTTATCACCAAATAATATCCCACATGTGTCCTGAATAGTTTATTAATTCAACAATTGATGGATATCTGCATTGTTCTCATTTGAAGACTAGCAGGACTAATGTTGTTATGGATATTCAGCACTTTACTTATTTATTATTTATTTATGTAAATATGTATGGATTGGCGGGATTTTTTTGAGATAGATTCTCACATAGCCAAGGCTGGCCTTGAACACCCAATCTTCCTGACTCCATCTCCTAAACTCTGGGATTACAGGTATGCATCACCACGCCTGGTGCTTTTTATAGTTTTTAGTCCAAATGATATCTCATGATTTTATTATTGAGATAGATGATTCACAGAATTCAATTGGGATGATTTTTGCTAGTTTCTAAGTGTCATATTTTAATTTACAAGGAAGAAGAACTGATCCCATAGAGTGTTGAAGACTTTCAAGCCATTAGAAAATAGGTCTCTAAAACTCCTGATGCTTCACATCAAGGCAAGTCTTGCTTCACTAATGTCAATCATAAGGGGCTAGAGAATTTCTCCCTAAGAGCTTGTGGTGGGGAGATAGCTCGGTCAGTAAACTGTCTGCTGTATAAGCAGAGTGACCTGAGGTGGATTCCCAGCAGCCACAATAAAAAACAAACCGAACAGGTACAGCAGCAAGTACCTGTAAATCTAGCACAGAGAGGCAGACGGTGGGTTCGTGGAGCTTGCTGCCAGCCAGGTCAGCCAAGTGGTGAACTCCAGGTTCAGTGAGAGATCTTGTCTCAGAGAGGGTGGGGAGTGATCAAGGATGACCTCTGACATCCAACTCTGGCTTCAACATGCATTCCCACCCTACGTGATCATGCATGCATACCCCCCCCACACACATACACACTCACACACCTGTGTACACAAAGGCAAAGAGTTTAGTGTGATGATGACTTGAAATTTTTGCACATAACCACTTTGTTGAAAACGTTTCTCAGGATATTTGTGGGTAAAATATTAGTTCTGGATGGGGAAGCAAGCATACATACTACCCAAACTGTGAGACTCTTCTGGCCCTGAGAAATTCTTACGATTAAAAAACTATTCTATGGTGGTGGCCTAAAAAGCAACTACACAGTATTTCGACTCAGTGACCTTGACTGTGTGGCTTCATGGGAGTGTCTCTTCTTCTGTACAGGCAGAGCTAGCCAAATTCAATCAGCAGGGTGGAGAGATGGCTCAGTGGTTCCGAGAATGGACTGCTCTTGCTAAGGACCAGCTCACAACTTCCTGCAACTCCTGCTCCAGGGGTTTGGGTGCCACTGGCCTCCTTGGGGACCTGCACTCATGTACACACATCCCCTACACATACACATAATTTAAAATAATAAAAATAGGCCTTTAAACCCAATACACTGCTTCAAGCTCAGAGCCCAGTCTATCTGAGACTTACTATCTTCCGGACACAACTAAGAAAGCCTGAGACTATAAGGACACCATGGCAGACAGGAAGAAAACCCATGACACTTCCAGCTTCTGTACATACTAAAAAACCAAACACTCCTAAGGTAAGCGATGCCATCTGACATTAGCATAGAAAGACGTCTCTTGCACTTCTTTAGCTACTCTCCATACCCCACAAATCCTTCACCAGCTTTCACTAACACCTGCACTGGAAGTCGATAAATCAGCGGCAAAGCTTGTCCTTCCAGGTCAAAGGTCATTGATGAGGTCTTTATTTAATTGTTTTATTTTTTCTTTTAGTCCCAAACTTCTGACATCTCTAGAAGATCCTTGAATCCTTGTACACTTTTGCATACAATTCGATTTTCTCTCTCATGGGGAGATTGAGCTCAAATTTATATCTTTTCCACCTAAAAGTAAAAGAACAACTTATAGCATGTGCACGCATACACACACACACACACACACACACACACACACACACACACACACACACCATTAATAATCAAAGAAGAAAGAGTGGGAGAGAACACAGGAAGGGTTTGAGGGAGAGCATCTGGGAAGGGCTGGATAGAGAAAAGGGAGGGGCAAAGTGATGTAATCCTATTTCAATTAAAAATGTATTTAAAATATTTCCTAGAGACATAGACTGTTTGAGTATACAGGATAGAAATCCGCATCGTAAATAAGGAAGTGGATTTTTATTTGTTTGTGTCTGATGTTGCTTTCAGGAAATTGTGTAACACGCTAAGTTGAATTCTACTTACAGAGACGGGCAGGTCCTTTCACAGTAATTCTCACGCTTCGACTGCCCAAAGGAACAGCAATCACATTTTCCTCTCCTAGAAAAGTGCACAAGACAAATATAATCAAAACTCACATGCTGAAGACCCATGAGTGTGAGCCATTGGGTTAAAACGCCGGCAGTTCCTCAGAACATTGAGCAACCATGTAACCGGTGGTTCCGCCTCTGGGTAGATGCCTGTGAGAACTGAGAGCAAGGACTCACACAAGTGTTTGCCCATCCACAGTCACAGCAGCACTGTCTACAGCAGCTGAAAGGTGGAGGCAAGTGGCCGGCCACATCATGACACCTATGCTGTACCCGCAGGTAAAGCAAATTCTGACGCAGGCTCTCACATGACTCAGCCAGGAAGAAACTATGCTAAGTGAAACAGAACAATGGTAAAAGGACACACAAGCAGAAAGTAGGTTACTCAGGTGTGGGGAGGGGAAGAGGGAAATAAGGAGTTTTTGCTAAGTGGGTAGAGAGCTTCTGTTTTAAAAGATAAAGGACATTCTGGAGACAGGTGATGACAATGGTTCCCCTGAACCATACACTTAAAAATGACTAAAATGCTGGTCACATGGACGTGAGAGATGGTTCGGTTAGGTCCTTGCAAGCACGAGGAACCTAAGTTCATTCCTCAGCACCCACACAAAAAGCACCAGGCATGGTGGCATATGCTTATAATCCAAGAGCTGGGGAGACAGAGACAGGAGAATCCTTGGGGTTCAGTGGTTAGGTAGTACAGCCTATTGGTGAGCTCTAGGCCAATGAGAGACTGTCTCAAAAGAGATGGATGGTACCTGAAGTTATTGCTGATCTTCACATGCATGAGCACGCACATGTGCATGATTCCCCTGACACACCCACATGTGCATGATTCCCCTGACACACACACAAAATGGATAAAACAGTCACTTTATATATATATATATATATATATATATATATATATATATATATATATATATATATGTAATCGTAATTTTAAAAATTCATACCGTATAATCTCACACTAGAACCGTGTGTTTCCGTATTGCATTCTCGTGTATATGTAAGTTGCAGCAATACATACAACACTATATTACATGCACATGTTACACTATACGGTGTGTGAGTGGGAAGATGAGAGTGTACACATATGAGTGTGAGGCAGAGGATTGTGTGGTTGCTCATTAGTGAGTAACAGCAAAGCATTTCAGTTCCTCTGTCCTCCATATGTGATGGGGAGCTCACACTCAGCTGCTGGTGGTGATTACCTCTGAGAAAGACAGAATTGTGGGGTGGGGGTAGAGAACATGAGTTCATGCTTTCTGGTTTTTCTGTAGTAAAATGTGCTTTTTTGTTTGTTTGTTTGTTTGGTTTTTCAAGACAGGGTTTCTCTGTGTAGTTTTTGTGCCTTTCCTGGATCTCGCTCTGTAGACCAGGCTGGCCTCAAACTCACAGAGATCCGCCTGCTTCTGCCTCCCAAGTGCTGGGATTAAAGGTGTGTGCCACCACTGCCCGGCTCCAAAATGTGCTTTTTCTAGACTATAAGTCTGATACATACTTTTAATTAAGTTTAAGATTTAAATTGGATAGGTCAAAGCTGAAACAATGGGTAACAGCAAAAAGACAAGGGCCAAGAGTTTGGCTGGGAGAGTTTTAGAAAAACTTTCAGCAAAAAGTTCCATCTCAGATGACAGAAAGAATGAGAGGTGTCAGTGACAAGTTCAGGGTCAAAGCAACTCTGAAACCCTCACCAAAATAAAAGGCAGCCCAGAAACCCTGAAACCCTCACCACAATAAAAGGCATCCCAGAAACTCTGAAACCCTCACCAAAATAAAAGGCAGCCCAGAAACTCTGAAACCCTCACCAAAATAAAAGGCAGCCCAGAAACAGATGCATATGAGCCCGTTTGATTAAAGTTACAGATAAAAATATTGAATAATACATAGCAAATAATTCCTGAACTCTCACCCCAGCAGACATGAACAGGGCTTTAGGGGAGTCCCGATTTCATGCAAATAGGACACAGAGGAGCAATGGCTGTGTTGAGTCAGTATTGAAATGCATCGTGGAGAACAGAGACTAGATGATAAATGACGATTTTCTTCAAGTAAATGTCAAGAGGAAAGAAGAAAAGAGCAAAGCCAGGCATGTCTTTAAGCCCAGCACTCACTTGGGAGGCAGAGGCAGGTGGATTTCTCTGAGTTCAAGGCTAGCCTGGTCTACATAGGGAGTTCCAGGACAGCTAGGGCTACATAGTGAGACCCTGTCTCAAAAAAAAAAAATCCAGAGACCCAAGGAAACTCCTGGCCTTATGTGACAACTAATTTGAAGAAATAATAATAATAATAAAAAACCAGCAACAAACACACAGTGGAGTAAGAACTTCTACAAGCAGACGATGAGCAAACATTGTAGTGAGCGGCATTTCAAGCCCTGGAAATTAACCAAGGGCTTGCAAAGGTCTGGGCAGTAATTACTCAAGAAAAACACAGGGTAAGAGCAGCAAAGACTGGGAATATCAACTTATTTCTTTCTGTCTTCCCTGTTCTCTACCCTCACAGTAACCTTTTTAAAAAGCCCTTAACCTGAGTGAGGGCCAGCAGCTTGCCAGACCCTGCAAGACTTGGAGTGGCTTTGGAGCTCCTTCAAAGCCCAATTCCCAGCAGTCATTACTTGGCTTGTGTGGTCATTGCCTGGAAGACCCCACTCAGCTGCCTGAATCTGACCTGTGAGCTTGCCCAGTGCAAATCGCCTCCCCGTGGGAGTTTGACCAAAACAATCAGAAGTTTTTGTTTAATATCAAGGCTATATGAGGTCACTGTCAACTACCAAAAACCCTCAGTGGAAGAGCTGGAAAACCATGTCCAATATATTCCTGGGAGTGGGTGGCCATATGCATGTAGGGCAGCTATTGTATGTAGGATGTCGTATGTATGCAGGGCAGCCATATGTATATAGGGTGGCCATATGTATGTCGGGATGCATGCTTACCCAGAAAAGCCTGCAAAGGTCTTGAGCTCTTATCTGCTAACCCTGAAGCAGGGAGTGAAGGTTAGAATAAAGCTGTCAACTACCTGGTTGCCTGTTGGAAACATATCTCAACACACACACACACACACACACACACACACACACACACACACACACACAGAGAGAGAGAGAGAGAGAGAGAGAGAGAGAGAATTTCAAAGCATATGACGATAGAGATAATAATCAGACACATCTAGAACATTGAGCATTCTGTGGGACAACTAAAACTAAAAACACTTTAAAAAGGCAATACCATAGAAAATGTTTTCCACATTAAAAAAACAAAAACAAAAAGAGCAAAGAGATTTTAAAAACTAAATACACTGAAGGAAAGGACTGGTCCAGGGGTCAAAATGTGCTTCAGCACATCTGGTTCATGCAGTGCTGACAGCTTACTTTGTGTACATACAACTGAAGTGGTGAGCAATGGACAAATGTGGCTTATGGTGCAAATGCAGCATCAATACTGAGCCCAGGTACAAGATCTACAGTCGTTATATTAGTTACTGTATTATTAGTATATTAGTTAGCAAGTTCTACTTATATCAGAAAAATTAAGAGAATCAATAGATTAAAACTCAGTAAATAAAAGAAAGTGGGAACATTTTTTCCCTCTACCCATATGTATGTGTGTGTGATGTGAATGTGTATAACCATCTCTGCAAGTGTGGCCATGCCCCCATGTGTGCACGTGCACATGGAGACTCAAGGTTGACATCTGGAGTCTTCCTAGGTGGCCCTTTATTCTTTGAGGCAGGGTCTCTCAGTTAAGCCTAGAGCTTGCTAGCCAGCTTGCTCTGGGGATTCCCTTTCTGGCGGTGTGATGATGAAATGACAGGTGTGTGGCCATAGCAACCTGACACTCACATGGGGTTTGGGGATCCAAGATCTGGTCTTTTTGCTCGCAGGGCAAACACTTAAGTGCTGAACCATCTCTGCAGCCCTCCAAAAAACTTTATGTGGCCTGATTGGGCATGCCTCTCTAAGCACTTGTTTGTATGGAAGGTTCACAATGCATCATGCAGGTGTTGGACGCACATGCACAGCAAACAGCTGTGATAGAGGCAACTGCTGAAGAGCAGACTTGGTTGGGACTGGTGGATGAAAGCATGCCAACTTTATAATATAAATTGTTAATCTGTACTGTATATACGCAAACACTTCTCCTTTGAAGGGCTGTAGCAGGCCCAAGCTCGGCAAACCCGGCATGTCTGACCTTCACCTTTCCCTCTCCTTTTCTAAAAACAATTAGACTACATTCTAAGCTGTCCCCCAAAGTCCTTCCCTTTATTTGGCTACTGACTCAGTCTGGCCCACCAAGGCCCACCAATCAAAATTCTTTATTTGTCTAACACATTCAATCAGCATGTATCAACTCGCGCTAGTGCAGACTCCCCCTTTTTCTCCTTAAAAACCCACTCCTGCAGAAACATCTGTTGGGGGCTGGCGAGATGGCTCAGGGGTCAAGAGCACTGACTGCTCTTCCAGAGAATCTGGGGTTCAATTCCCAGCAACCACATGGTGGCTCACAACTGTCTGTGGCTCCAGTTCCAGGGGATCTGACACCCTCACACAGACATACATGCAGGCAAAACACCAATGCACATAAAATAAACATATAAATTATTGAAAAACAACACCTGCTTGCTGTCTGCCTTTGTCAAGCCTCCCCACCGCCTTGCCCCTCTGGAGTAATAGTTCTCCTTTGTGCTGAGAAGCTGGTGTCTGGGTGTGCCCTGTACTGACTCCCAGGGCTGGCGGAGGAGTGGGGGGTGGGGAGTCAACCTCCCTTCCAACTCCTGCCTAGAAGGACCCACCAATGTGATTACCCTGTAGTTTCTTAGACGATGATTGCTCACATTGCCTGTTGACTATTTTTGTTTTCTTGGCCAGGACAGTCTTGACTTTATGAACAAACACATAGCAAATTACATATAATAAAAACAGTTTTAAAACGTATTTTTGAACACACAAAACAAAAACTTCCTTTGAATAAAAAAAAAAAAAAACGCTACTGTAGCAGATCAGTCAGA